TCTCAAAAGGCCGTACGGTTTAAGTGGGAAGTTTGAGATGAAAGTTTGATCCAAATTATTCTTCTTAGTGGATATTTTAGCGTGGCATTAAGGGGTAATAATTGGAGGCTTAGTCACCTTTAAGATGCTTAATTAGCTTCCAAGTGTGAAGCTTATATTAAGCCACATTTTTGTCATCATCATCACACCTCTCACGTCCATTATATATAAGCATAAGATGGGGAAATTTTCCCACTTTTCACATACATTCGTTCAGCATTTTTCCTCTCTAAACCTTCCCAACACTTAGCCAAAATTCAGCAAAGAACCTTAGCCTATATTCCACACACGGCTAGTAAGTACCGCACGGCGATCGTCGCACATCAAGGTCATCATACATCCGAGCCATTGCGCCGTACCGCAAGCAGTTCGCGCACCGTAGGCTATCGTAAGCAGCCATCGTCGCACTCGTATCAGTAGTCCTTCACGGCAGCCAGCGTTTCGTTCATTGATCAAGAGTACGCGAGCATCCACGAGCGTTGTAGTGATCCGTCGCCGCACCGCAAGCCATCGCACGGCGTCGCACACACGCGGAGGGTCACGGCCGAGTACGGGAGTTCGAAACGATTAGTCACGTGGGCTTAATCAGAGGTAACTCCCGACGGTTATTGACCGAGATTAGCATGTCTATTAAGTTTAATTTTAGTTAAACGTGCATGCATGTTATGTGTGGACGTACCGATCGTGATACGTTCTAAGTAAATTCTCCGAACTATCATCGCATATTTAGCCTTTATATGCCAAATCATGTTTAGTTTAACTTAAGTGTTCGGATGAATAGCATGTTTGCGGTATTGCGGCCAAGAGTGACGTGGTTGCGCACGTAGCGCACCACGGATCGTACTTGCTTGCCTAGTATATTAAGTTCTGTTCCTCGAGCACTTTTATGAGATTTATTCATTAGAGTATTAATCACGTTCAGTAAAGTTTGAATTGCCGAGAAAAGTTGATGTTTGGTCGTAAAATGGCACAACGCCGTCGGCGGCGCCCGGTGCGTCCGCCGCGGCCAAAGTTCAGCCCTTTGCGTAAATTTTCATGTTTTCAGTGTAAATGTGTTCATGTTATGTTATTTGAGGTCAGTTGGTTCAGAGGTTGTTG